TTTTATTTTTGTGTCCATTGAACTTCATTCCCGCAATTGTAGTTAATTTCGCCCAATTCCTTGCAATGTCACTCTGTGTACGGAAACTTTACAATTGCTCCTTTTATGTCTCTTGTGTAACTGCTTCCCATCTCATGCAATTTGCAAATCAATATCCCATCTCATGTCTCTTGTGTAATGTGTTTTCTGATCTCAAATGTTCCTAATTTATGGCATGGAGTTTTAATGAAAATCTCAATTAGTTTTGATCAAAACTAATTGGATGTAGGCTAACTTGGTACGTAATGGACTAAATGGAAATGGAACATTAAAATGTCATTGCTTTCTACTTTCTGTAAATTTTGGGTAGTAGATGCAACAATGCATCTAGGGTGTAACGAAAAGTCAAAAGAGTGTCTCTGTTTTAACATAGATAAGATTGCGTACATCTTGATCCCTAGACTCCAATGGAGTTAGGATTGTAGTGGGTTGTTGTTGTTGTTGTTGTTTCACCTACCTGGAGTTTATTATTTAACAGACCAAACAATTGTGGTTATTACATGCATGTAAATCCCGTTGTTTATCTGGATTGCTTTTGTTACAGGTTGAGGAAGTAGCAGCTGGAAGAGAGCTGAAGGGAATGAGACATTCTAGCGAACCAGACTACTATTACGAAGATTACCTGTATATGATTTAATCTTGGAACAGGTTTGCAGTAGAGAACAAGCTGGCTGTATTATTTATTTTTTGGATATAAATGGTGGCCCTTGTATGATTCAATGGCAAACCGTAGAAAATCTGAAGTCTGAACTCTTCCCCATGTGATATTATATATAAATATAATCACTCAAAGAACTTCAACTATGTATGTATCTTCTGAATTGCAACTCCTGCAAATTCTGAAAACAGTTTTTGCCATTGAACCATTAGTTTTGATTCCATACCTGTGGCGTCTCTTGCTCCAATTAACAATGAAATTCAGCTAGGAATCTAGCATAATGTTTTCAATTTACAGTAAAGCCTTTTTGTAGGTAATACTCCCAGAAAATTGGCTATTTTCACTCAAATAAACTCTTCTTTTACATATTTGTATATTTTCTTCAGTACATTGCCTTGTTTCTCACAATTTGTTTTTTATCTTTGCCTAAAACATTTCCAACAGAATGTCGATTGTTCGCCGGATATATTCACGTATTTGTCCGAAACCTGCCACTGCATTTCTTTACCTTTCATCTTCATCCAGGGATGAAGAAGGGGAACGTTGTGCAGGGCGAGAGAATGTGAGTTCTTCTTGTTTTGATACTTTTTATTAATTGAATGTGTTTGTAATATTTATATTTGTAGAATTTGGGGTTTACAGGTTCCGGGCATGTCAAGGATTCATTCTACGTTGCAGAAATTGGTTTTGGGGGGTGAAGAGAAAGTGCCAGATGCATGTTTGGATCTCATAAGAAAAAAGAGCAAGTTTACGAAGATTAAGAAAAAGGGAAAGGTTATGAAGAAGAAGCACAGTCCCGACCGACCTGATGTGAAATGGAGGGTCCTTTATCCCCACGAGAAGATTGATCGCGTCGGCGATACTGTACAATTTTTTATGGGAGCTCTGGATATCTACCGCGTACCTGATTTTTTACTAACTTTTCTATTTTAGGAATTTATTAAATAAAATTATATTTATCTTCCCCTTTGTATTTATTGCTTGATGCGATTCAAACTGAATAGCAACGCTTTGGAGTTATGATGCATCAAACAAGTAGAGGGAGGCCACGAGACATCATCTCAGCAATGATATATAGGACTGGGTAGGTATAATAAGTATAATAATAGTATGCAATATGCAAATTGCAAACTGTATTTACTTTTCAGTTTTTTCTCACATAGCTATTTTAACAATTTGTTTTGACAAAGATAAATTTATTGGGATCGACTTGAGTGGCATGCACTGTGCCATATTGCTCATTGAGTAAGTTATGACAATGAAGTAGTGAATTTGTCATTTGTAACAACAAATATTTAGTTCTTTTGCTTATTATGTGTTTCTTGATGTTGTTACGTAGCAAGAGGGTCGTCTCTTCCGTCATATTTAGGGTAGTAGGCACAGACTTGGCGGAGGTTCCTTTGGCTGCAACAAGTGCGCAAGCTGAAGGACAGGTACTTTTACAGTGTGTGCATATTAGAACACTTTACATTCATTATTTAATTTATGTTGTTGATATGCAGGGATATTTTCAGGCGCTTTTTTGTTGTTTGAAGAAGCTATTAGGGTCCCTTGCAGTGAAGAATGTGGTTGTTTCTGCCTTGAAAGAAGCTGAGCCGATGTGGATTAAAAAGTTTGGCTTCAAAAAGT